CCAAAACCTTGAACCTGACTCAGTACTCCACTGGAAGCCAGTATAGCTGGTGCAGCACAGGTGGTATATGTACTGTTCATGGCATTCCCATTAGGACTCACAGTGCCACATTCTGGATCAGTTAGAGCTTCCAAGTCAGTCTCAAGGGTAGGCTAGTGTAGAGTGAGTTACAATAGTCTAGCCTGGAGGTGACTGTTGCACGGATTACAGTGGCTACATCAGGACACGACAAGAAAGGGGCTTATTGCAGCACTTGGCATAGATTGAGAAATGCCAGCCTGGCAATATTCGTGACCTGGACCTCCATAGTTAAGGAGGCATCCAGGACCAGGACCAAAGTCTTGATGGATTGCCCCAATGATAATGGCACCCAGTGGGGAGCCTGTGCCCCAACCCTGAGGAGTCTGTGCTCCAATCCCCCAGCCACAGAACCTCCATCTTTGTTGGATGTTATGACTTCCACTCTTAAGCACAATTTAGCTAGTAGGAGTTATCCAATCTGCATACTCCAGTCTGCTTATCTAAAAGCCCTGGCATCAGACAGGAAGAAATTACTCCTGAACAAGGGGAAAACTGCTTGTGATTGGATTATATGCAGTCTTTCTTATAATAATATAAGTGTGAGTCTTTCCCCCATCTATTTGCTTTCTTTCTTTGTTTTTCTCTCTTCTTTCCACCTCTTTCATTCTTTCCACTTTCCCCTTCCTTCCATCCTCCCTCCCTCCCCATCTATTTGCTTTTTTATTTCTCTCTCTCTTCCTTCCCCCCTTTGCTTTCTTTCCATCTTTCTTTCTGTTTTTCTCTTTCTCACTTCCCCCCTCCCTCCCCATCTATTTGGTTTCTCTCTCTCTCCACCTCTTTCATTCTTTATTTCCACCTCTCTATTTCTCTCTCTCTCTTAAATAAATATCATTAGAAAACAAATAAATATCATTGGACAAATAAATATAATTATCAATATCTACTTTTACCCTTTTTGTTTTATTTTTGGCAGTTTCACTTAATGTTAATAAAAAGCAAATTTGCATGTTTTCCAATAAAAATGTGTGTGTGTTATATTTGTTCATGTCTTGTGGCTCTCAAACATCTGACATTTATTCTATGAGGCTCTTACATTAAGCAAGTTTGTCCACCCCTCATCTAGACTACAGTAACACCCACAAATGTGTTAGTTAACAAACAGTTCTACCTGGTACTAACCCTCATCAGGGACATTTTGCCTGTGAAAATTGTAATAGTTGTGAGTTAACATATAACATGAAACATTTTGTCAGCCTTTTAAATAAGAAAAAATACATACTAAAGGATTTCTTTTTTTTAATGTGTTTATTGTTTTTGCAGCCAGAGTCATAAACAGCAAACCCTCATCCCACAATATTTATTTATTTATTTGTATCCTGCCCTCCCTGCCAAGCGGGCTCAGGGTAGCTTACACAAAACATGTTAAAACAACTAAAACACAGAATTCAATAAAACCACAACAGTATAATAATAATAAAACACATCAAGTGCTAGTACAATTCATAAACAATGGCGGCATTCACGGCATCCAAACTAGTCAGCTATCATTGCAGTCTGAGTTTTAACAGGCTGTTGATCACAATGTTTCAGTTGGTGTTGGTACTGGGACCAGGGCCGTGTTGGAGGTAGTTTAAACTGCCTTCCTTTTGGCTTCCCCAGGAGCCCCACAGCCACAGGATGCCTGGGAAAGCCGATCCTGGGAGGGAAGGTAGTTTAAATTGCCTTCCCTTTGGCTTCCCCAGGAGGCCTGCAGCCGTGGGACGTCTGGGGAAGCTGATCCTGGGAGGGAAGGCAGTTTAAATTGTCGTCCCTTTGGCTTCCCCAGGCACCCTGCAGCCGAGCCTTGAAGGGAAGGGAGTTTAAACTGCCGAACCCAAAAAATAGCATTTTTGTGTGTGTGTGCACACCCCTATTTCAGACACACACTGAGGTGGTCGCAGAATATTATGTAGGAATCTTAACAGAAGTCTGTCGATATTGTCTGTTACTGCACTGATCCAGATCATGGTGGATCACAACACGTAACTCTGCACAAGTTATATATATCATCCAATGCTTCTAATAAACTTTATGTTGGGAAAACAACTAGAAACGTAAGAACACGTATAGCAGAACATAAAAGTAATATTAAACTGAAAAGAACAAGTGCCCCATTGGCTAAACACTTTATTGAAAATAATCATGGTCCCTCTGATTTTATTTTTTGAGCGATGGAGAAATTAACCTTTAAAAATGAAAGGCTGCTACTGAAAGAAGCAGATTGGATTGCTAGACTCCAGACACTGACACCTAAAGGGTTAAATCTGTCTCTAGAATTGCATCAGCTTCTGTAAAAGAAACAGAGGGAGATTACGTCAACTGGACACTAAAATATAACAGAGTGCTTCCAATGGCAATTTATTACTAGCCTTATACCTTTTTTTTTTAAGAACCAGTGTAAGACTATCTTATCTCTCCTTCTCTTGCAATCTCAAGGACAGGGTGAGCTCTGGCGGTTTTGTATGTGAATGACGTTTTGTAACCTGGATTTTGACTTTTAGTGTCTTCTTTATTTATATAATTTTAACTATATCAGTATCTTTTGTGTACAGCAGGAGTTGGTGACTAGTTTAAAATAGTAACAGTGCATCAAGATTTACCTTGATTATGTAACTTTAAATACAGAACAGTATGTATTGGCAGAATATTTCTACAGATGGGGATAACCGTGAATAACTTGAATGAAATTTCTGTCCATGGCAATCATGCCCTACAGCAGTGGAAGATGTGACTGATATAGTGCTAGTTTCTCAGGGTGTACCAAGCTGATATGAATATCAGCCCTACAGGCTGTGAAGAGGGTCTGAGGGCCAAGAAAATGCACAGGGGATCTGGCTGCATGTGTTCTCAGGAAAATAAGATGACTCACTAATATGTGATGTGAAGCAGTATAAGAAAAGTCTTCTAACTTCAGGCCCATTCCAGATATATCTTTTTCCATAACAAAGCAACCAAATGTCAAGTGCTATTGTGTAACCCTAAGCAATCAATTTGTAATACCCTTTAGGGTTTCAAGGTGGGAGTGGAAAGAACGGCTTTCAGGTACTCCACAAATTGTAGTTCTGATTTGAAAATGGGGAAGCCTCTGAGGCAAGCAAAGAGTGAGTTCTTAGAATATAATATATACTTTATACCACTTCATAAAGGTCACTGTGGTGTAGCGGTTATACTGCAGTTGTGTTCTTTGTGTTTCTCTGCAAGTGTTATGACGGACCTACAACACAAAAGATTCTCAAGCTAGAGTTTCATTCCAGGCTACATCAGCATGCAGTCCAGACTTCAAGTCTTACAGAATTATACAATATTTTATATACATACAAATATTTACACAAGTCCAGGATATTTTTTGGCAATTTTCTCCAATTTTCTGTAAGTCCCTCATTCCAGGCTACATCAGCATGCAGTCCAGACTTCAAGTCTTACAGAATTATACAATATTTTATATACATACAAATATTTCCTCCAATTTTCTGTAAGTCGCAAAGAATGCCCTGCAGAGGACACATTGCTAGAACTTACAGTTGCACTGCATTGCTACAATGCACCTTGAGATGAAGATGGAATCAAGATATTCTGAAACTGGTGTGATGGAAACTCTGCAGCTATATTATGCCTTGACTGATTTTTAGACATAAAAACTGCTGAACAAATCCAACGTCTAACCTCCTTGTGATCATACAGTGGTGCATTTCAAGAAGAAATATTAGGCGTTTATAGAAAACCACAACTGTTATCCTGTGCTCAACTGGTAAGGGAGGTTAACTAATTTGCCAGGAAGAGATCGGACCTAGTTGGCCTAAAAATAATGTTTTAGATGACCACCAAAAAAATGACTGAAGTCACTACAGGTCATTGGTTTGGGTGGTGACCCTGACAGTAGCATGCAAGCCACAAAGGTCATTACCTCAAAAGGCAAATGGCTTCAATCGACCATGTATTTCCATTTGTTTGCAATGAAGAAAGAGGCCTCAGCTTTTGTGGAACTTTTTCAGGGATCTTCCAAGACTTTGATAGTTGTATCATACCTTCTACATGCCCCAAGATGCTGGATGAACACATGAAGCTGCCTTATAATGAATCAGACCCCTGAGCCATCGAAGTCAGTATTGTCTACTCAGACCAGCAGCAACTCTCCAGGGTCTCAGTCTGAGTGAGGTCTTTCACTTTCACATCATCTCTTAGCTGATCCTTTCAACTGGAGAAGCTGGAGATTGTGAACCTCGGACTTGCTACATGCCAAGGAGATGTTATGCCACTGAGTCACACCCTGCCCTAGTGATGCTCCTGTGATCCACACACAGCCAAAGCACTAGATCAGCATGGCTTTAGCATTCTGTATGGTTCCCCAACACAGAACAAGCAGAAGTAACCCAATGCATAATTCACACATGCTGAATAATACAATTTCAATCCGCTTTCAATGCACTGGTAGTGACCGTTCACACGGATTTTGTTTTACAGTAAAATTCAGTTGCAAGGTGCGTTGAAAGTGGAGTAAAATGTACGGTATTCAGCACGTGAAACTGCCATTAAGGCAAAAAGAGAGTGTTGGTTAAGGGGTAAACCTCCCCCTGGAGCAGAGGTCCCGATGGAAAGCGGGCAAAGAAAATCTGCACGAGTGTTTCTTTGAGTTTGATCGCAAATACGGGCAATGTGTTTGTTCTTTCCTCGCTACAGATATGTAGGAGATGTTTCTCGACGGTGATGAACACTCTGCCTATGCTCAGGGGCACTTTTCAAAACTCGTCCAGGTTTGATCTACGGCCGCTATGGTTTTCTGGTACCTCAGCAGCAGGCTGACTCTTCTTGGTCGCCTCGATCGGGAGGATGTGCTTTGGATCCAGCCCTCGAGCGAAGAAAAGAGCCCGAAGACTCTCTCCCCGCCATGTGCTCCGGAGATCCTCCCAGGCGATCGGAGGAGGATCTGAGAAGGGGGGATACGGAGGGGGCGGAACTTGGGCTGAAGAGCCGCGGGAGCCGCCCATTCGTCGGTCGCAGAGCCCTCTTGGTGAGTTTGTGCTGGGCTTCGGCTGCTGTTTTGCTGAGGGCGGAAGACGATGGCGTTTGTCCGAGGCAGCCCCCTGGCCCTTGCCGTCCTTTGGTCGCTGCCGTTGTTGTTGTTGCTGCTGCCCGCCGGTAAGTCACGGAGTCACGAAGTTGGGAGGAGGGGGGGGGATCGGAGCCCCCTCCTGGGAGCCCAGGCGGGAGAGAAAGGGGGCGCCAGCTTGAATCCCTCGGAACGCCTGGGAGGTGCTGTCTGGCCTTGGAGCGAGCGGCTCCTCTTAGAAGTGGCTGTGCCGCGAGAAGAGGGGAGAGTGGGGCTGCCCGGCGAAGCCTTCGGGGATAAAGTGGGGAGGGAGAGCCGCGGGGGAGGGGGCAGAAGCTCTGTGGTTGTCTGAGAAGCACCCGCTATGGCCGGTAGGATGGTAACTTTGGCAAACGATAGCAGCTTCCGGGTAGTGCTACTGCTGTCTGCTGCTGAGCCACAGGGAATCCTGCTCTTCCTGAGGGGCGGATGGAGTCCTCAGAGGGTGCCTCTAAAAATGGCATAGGTCCTGGCTCAGGAACTTTCCATTTGAACTAAAAGGACAGGGCTGTGCTAGCACTCACTCCTTGCTTCCTAAGGTTTCGACTGAGTGCCCTTTGTCTTAGTTCAAGACCCGCTTCCCCCACCCCTCCCTTTCTAGGCGTCTTGTTGCTCTCTTCTTGCCTTACCCAAACCCACTTCCTCCTCGTGAAGACAGACGACCTGTGATGTGTGGCGAAACCACTCCCATCCTCCGTTTCTGACTCATTCTGACCACTGTAGCCTCCACGCTTGAGAGGAGGCTGATGGAGAGTAATGGCAGGGTCTCAGTTAATTACTCTCAGCACTCCACAAGTAAGGATATATCTGCCCATCAATCCCCAATCTTGACATATTTATTTCCTTCACCATGCCCCCCCCCAATTAAACCCAGGCAAATGGTAACCATGTAAACTAAGCTTGTTATTCCTGTTTGGTCCTTGAATCTGTTAAACATCTTCATTATGGTGGGGGTCTGCTATGGACTACCAAGCCAGGCAGAGGAGTTGGATGAGACACTCCTAGAACAGATTACAAAGTTCTCAGAGAGATGGGACATGGTGGTCATGGGAGATTTCGGTTAGCTAGATGTCTGTTGGAAGTCCAACTCTGCTGAAAATGAAAGGTCCAATAAATTCCTGACTTGTCTTGCTGATGACTTCATTTTCCAGAAAGTGGAGAGGGAAACAAGGGGATCTGCTATCTTGGACTTGATTCTTACCAACAGGGAAGAAATGATTGATGAGGTGAAAGTAGTGGGTACCCTGGGTAGGAGTGACCATGTAATTTTGGAAGTTACAGTCTTGGGGAAGGGAAAAGCTGTATGCAGTCAGACATATAGGTTGGATTTCAGGAAAGCAAATTTTGGCAAACTTAAAGTTATGCTGGATAGAATTCCATGGCCAGAAATATTTAGGGAGAAGAGAGTTCAAGAGGGATGGGAGTTACTTAAAAGCAAAATATTGAAGGCACAATCATAAATGATTCCTATGAGAAGGAAAAATGGGAGGAGCCTAAAGAAGCCAAGGTGACTCCATAAACAGTTTATTCTAAAGACTTGAGAAATAAAAAAGACTCATTTAGAAAGTGGAAGGAGGGCCTTATAACCAAGGATGAATGTAAACAAATAACCAGTGCTTGTAAAGAGAGAGTTAGGAAACCTAAAGCTCAGTATGAACTTAGACTAGTGAAAGATGCTAAAAACAACAAAAAGGTTATTAAAAACCATAATAATTAAAATTAATAAAACTAAATCTTAATTCTCTTTTTGAGCTACTATAGTTTTTCTAATTCTTAGGGCAAGCCATCCAAACTCAGCCACCCAATTAGTAACTTCTGCTTGCCTACCCAATAAAAAACTTCTTAAAAGGCAGATTCTTTGCCTATGAGAAAGAGGAAGTGTCTTAGAGAAAGAAGAGATCGCGGATGTTGTTATATGCCTTACAATAAAATATTATGTGTTCTATAGACTCAATACCATCTGCACAACAGGGACATATCCTTTCTTCATAAGGAGTTTTATTAACTTTTCCTTCCAGGACTGCAGATGGGAAAGTTTTAGAACAAATAATCAAACAGACAGTCCTTGAGCATTTAGAAAGGACGGCTGTGATTACTAAGAGCCAGCATGGGTTTCTCAAGAACAGGTCATGCCAGACTAACCTTATCTCTTTTTTTGAGAAAGTTACTACCTTGCTGGATCGGTGGAATGCTGTAGACATTCTCTTGATTTCAGTAAGGCTTTTGATAATGTTCCACATAATATTCTTGTTGGCAAATTGGTAAAATGTGGTTTGGATCCTATTACTGTTAGATGGATCTGTAACTGGTTGACAGATCACACCCAAAGAATGCTTTTTAATGGTTCCTTATCCTCTTGGAGAGGAGTGACAAGTGGTGTGCCTCAAGGATCTGTCCTGGGACCTATTTTTTTCAGCATCCAACATCTTTATAAATGATTTGGATGAAGGAATAGAGGGAATGCTTATTAAATTTGCAGATGACACTAAATTGGGAGGGGTAGCAAATATGGTAGAAGACAGAGTCAGGATACAGGATGATCTTGACAGGCTAATACAGATAAAATGAATTTCAGTGGGGATAAAAGTAAAGTTCTGCATTTAGATAGGAAAAATCCAATGCATAATTATAGGATGGGGGAGATTTGTGTTGGCAGTAGTATGTGCGAAAAGGATCTAGGGGTCTTAAGCAGACCATACACTGAAAATGAGTCAGCAGTGTGACACGGTAGCTAAAAAGGCAAATGGAATTTTGGGCTGTATCAACAGAAGTATTGTGTCCAGATCACGCAAAGTGATGGTATCACTTTACTCTGCTCTGGTTAGACCTTACCTAGAGTATTGTGTTCAGTTTTGGGCACCACAATTTATGAGAGGGAGGGCAGGAAGGGTTGCCTCAGTGCTTAGTTTTTGTGGCCCTTTCTTATATGCCCAAGGAAATGCTGATCACCACTTTGGGATCAGAAGCAATTTTCCTCTAGGCCAGTTTGGCTGGAGATCCTGGAGGTCTTTTGTCATCTGGGCATGGAACAGCAGTCACTGAGGGTGCGGAGGAGATATTTGTTAATTTCCTGCATTGTACAGGGGGTTGGACTAGAGGACCCTGGAGGTCCCTTCCAACTCTATGCTATATGCTAATTTATTGCTCACTCTCTACCAGTGCTGCACTGGCAAGGCGGGATATAAATTGAAATAAATAAATAAATGTATAGACTGGTGATTTCCATTTCATTGTATCTGAAGAAGTGTGCAGGCACATGAAAGCTTATACCTTGAACAAAACTTTGATGGTCTTTGTTGCCACTGGATTCAAACTTTGTTCTGCTGCTTCAGACCAACACGGTTACCCACCTGGATTTAGCATCCTGTCACTGGTTCACTAGAAGCCCTTGCTTTGGCTGGGCCTCAAGTTTCTCTTTTCACATCCTAAAAAACAAAACTCAAGCCCGGGGGGGGGGGGGTACGGCCAAAGTGCAGCTTTTCAAAGCCGCACCAAAAGAGACACGTGGTGGCGGGATCACACAGATCCCCTGAGCCGCCGCACAGTTCCTCCCCGGCACGATCAGATGCCGGGGGGGAGGCACTGAAAGGAGAGCGAGGCAGCTGAACTGCGCATGTGTGCGTGTGCGCAGTTCGGCCGGGAGCCTCGATTGCTCCTGCAGACGAGCGCACCGGCGATCTCACGGCCGTGCTTGCTGCAGTGCTTCAGGTAAGTCCTACCAGTTAGTAGGTTCCTTTTTACATCGCATTTTCGTTCTGAAGGGACGGATCGGGAATGGGTGCGCGCCAATTCCCAGAAGTTGCGGTGGGATCGCGCCCGTTTGCTGCGCCCTCGATCCGTCCCTCTTCCGGGCCAAAACTTCCCAGGTGACCGGGGCCTTAGATGTTTCATTGGCTAGGTATCTAGGTATTTGATGTTGGGCTGAATTGCAGCTATTTTATTCCAACTTGGTATGGCACTGTATCTTAAAAACTGACAATTTTCACAGAGGAAAAAATGTCATACTAAAGAAAGATAGCTGAAGCTTGGCTTTGGCTTGGTTTTTACAGCAGATATTAAAACGGAAGAAAGGTTATTCCCCATTTCCAGCTCTGAATGAAGCTTTTTAATTTCATTTTTCATGACACACAGCTCTTTGAGCTGGATTTGCAGGGAGATGCAGGGGATCTGAGGTTTGTTTACTTTTGTTAATCACCCCAAGCCCCTTGAATGGGGTGGGTTGTACATTTAAAAGTAGAGAAATAGTATACCCACTGGACTATGCTTGGTGATAGGACTGGTATGGTTAGTGCAGGCAACTTGAAGAGAGCAACCAGATAGCAACACACACCCTCCCCACAGTCATTCAGTGCAACATTGTCATTAACATTTCTATAATTTTTCATGGCACCATCATGTGTTAATCTGTGGTAAGGTAAAGGTAAAGGTTCCCTTGCTCGAAAGCCAGTCGAATCCGACTCTAGGGTTGCGGTGCTCATCTCCGTTTCAAAGCCGAAGAGCCAGCGCTGTCCGAAGACATTTCAATGGTCATGTGGCTGGCATGACTAAACACCAAGGCGCACAGAACGCTGTTACCTTCCCACCGAAGTGGTACCTATTTATCTACTTGCAATTTCTTGCTTTCGAACTGCTAGGTTGGCAGGAGCTGGAACTAGAGACGGGAGCTCCCTCCGTCATACGGCACACTCGGGTCTCAAACTGCTGAACTAATGACCTTCCACAGCCTGCAGTTCAGCGTCTTAACCACTTGAGCCACCGCAGCTCCAAATAATAATGGTACCAAATAATAAAATGGCTGATACTAGCAGAGATTTGCTATATGCTGTGTAATTTTCAATTCTGTGTTGGCACTAGAGTTGTCAACAGTTAAGGTAGAAATGAATGACAGAGGGGTGAGAGGTTGGCAGTGAACAGTGGGGAAGTCTGATGAGTTAACCTAAGTCTTGGATGGATCAAAAAGGTTTTGCTAAATAAGTGAGATTCGGACCCAATGGTTCAACCTCCCCAACAAATTTTCATGTGCCTTTCCTGTAGACATTTTACAATGTGT